ATTATTATTTAACAACACCTTACTTTTAGGTTGTATCTAATCTTTCCGTATTCATCAATGGATCGTTTAAGTTTTAATGAATTAGCTGATATACATCTTATGTATGGTCTTATTGCTCAAAGTAATGCTGCCGAGGCAAGAAGATTATACATCCAGTCTTTTCCAAATCGAGATGTACCGGGAATAGCGTCTTTTCGAAATGTAGACAGAAACTTGAGAGAATTTGGTAATTGTAATTAAAGAAAATTGAAAATAAAAATTTACGATTTTTGAACATAAAAGTGGCTATAACTCGGAAACGGCTCATTTCCGAACCTATGTTTGTATGAACTTTTTTGCTTGTTTTTGGGTCCCGAATCACCTCCCGAAGTGAAGTAGGCGATTTTTCGGTCACCCTGTATATGGCCATGTATAATTATATACTCTTATATATATATAGCAATATAATATTGTTTAAGATTATATTTTTCATTTCTTATAGGATCATATATAATCATGTATCTATTAATATAAACTAATATAAACTAATATGAATAAATAAGAGATTTCTTTTTCCCGGGATATATCTCATAAAAAATGTTGTATACATGTAAAACGGACATATAAAAGTTATGTACATATAATTGTAAATACGATCCAGACAATCCAAAAGACGGCAAAAGTAAAAATAATTTTTAACGTTTGATGAATCCAATAAAATCTAAAATAAAAGATTTTTTTATCAATAAAAACTAAACTTAAACTAACAAAATTAATCAAAAATGAAAAAAGATCTGTTACCTCCTATATTTGATACGACTGATTTGTAAACTACTGTCATCTTCATTTAATAAATGAAGTCGTAAACCCATATAATGATCAATTAAATATTTTGTCCAGTCAAATCCAACCATGCTGAAATTAAATAATTGCTGATCATCTTCACTGAGATGACTCCACATCGCTTGAACATTGTCAGTGGAAAAATTCCATTCATTGTTGCAAAAAGGTTGGATCGCGTTGGAAAATTTGTCGACCTTCTTACATAACTTCCACATTCTGAAACACATATAGAACTATTATAATTTTTTACATTATAAAGATAGAATTTTATTTGGTCTTGATACAAACTATGAGATATATATACATCAAGTAATAAAAACAATATTTAAATCTACGTGATACCTTGGGTTACGATTCATACATATGTTTATAGCGTCTATAAGTAAAGCCGGAAGGAAATGACCGAGCCAAACGCAAATTCTGTACGGTATTTTACGTTGAAAGTAAAATGCTAAAGGGAAATATATGGCATCATGTAGAGGATACATCTTATTTATGTCAAAAAGTGTATAAGCATATTTATGCCACGTAGGTCCATCAACTGGTGACACAAAATTATAAATTAATGTATCCTTGCCTCTCCTACAAGATAAATCCATTTAAACATAATTATGTTGTACATTAATTATACTTCTTTACACATCAGAGTCATTTATAATCATATGCTAATGTTCGTGTGTGTGTGTGTGTGTGTGTGTGTGTGTGTGTGTGTGTGTGTGTGTGTGTGTGTGTGTGTGTGTGTGTGTGTGTGTGTGTGTGTGTGTGTGTGTGTGTGTGTGTGTGTGTGTGTGTGTGTGTGTGTGTGTGTGTGTGTGTGTGTGTGTGTGTGTGTGTGTGTGTGTGTGTGTGTGTGTGTGTGTGTGTGTGT